ATAAAGATAAATTAAAAAAAAAAAAAAAAGTTTCATTTCACAACTCGCTCCGGCACAGGTGCGAATTTCTAGAACCGTTATCAAGGACCTTTCACGAATTCCGAAGCTCTTGTCCTCTTTGCTGAACAGAGTTGGCAGATGCTGCCTCGCTGAGAGCACATCTGTTCAAGTGGGCGTGAGGGGACCAGGTCTCCTAAGTCCACACACCCGACGACTGGCTTCTGGCTCCATACATCACACATGTCCAGTCTCCCCCTCAACTCACCTGCTCTCAGGTTCTGCAGGACGCGCCCACGCTGTAACCACCTTGGCCGTGCACCTTACCTTCAAGTCAAAGGGACGGGCACAGTGGGCAGCTGGAGTCTTCCTGAAGCCGTCCCCACCCCAGGATGACCATCAGTAACCCACTCAACAGACATGACTGCGAACCACACCAATATATCCCATTTATTCTGAACTGAGTATCTCCCCAAGTCAACTCCCCTTGGCCAAATCCCCAAAATGCCCACCTGGCTCAGCACCTCCCAGCGGCAGAGGGAGGAGCACGGTGGATGGGGAGTCGGAACGAACGAGGGACCAGTTTCAACCACCTGCCGCTGAAGCACCCAGTTCTCGCAAACCTTCTAAGACCTTGGGAACCTGCGAACCCACTGCCAAGGCTCACTGCAGGGGTGGGGCAGGGGTCTCAGCAAGGGAGGGGCCTCCGCTGGAACTTCATTTCACTGTGACCATCAAACCTTTCACACCCGTCTCCAACCTCGCAGGCACCTGCTGCCCGGCGTCCTGCTTCCGTGAGGAAACAACGGGGAAACAGAACTTCCACATGCTCCCCGTCCCCCACCACAGCCCCTGCCTGCCCTGTGAGCCATGCCCTACCCCAGCACTTGTCCCCTCCCTCCTGCATCCTCTATTACTCCCTCTCTACTGGGTCATTCAATTGGCATAAAAACAGTAATTTCTCCTTTATTTGAAAACAAGCTCTCTTGCCCCCACACCCACTCCACTCCTCTACTGCCCATTTCTCCGCATCTTTTACAGTGAAACTCCTCGAAAAGCAAGCTCCTATAGCCAGGCTTCCCCGATCTCCTACCCAGTGGCCAGTCCCCAGGTGCTGGGTCCCTGAGCGGCTCCTCCACAGGTGACCACCCCGCCCTTCTCCCTGGAACAGGCCAGGGCTCCGCTCTCGGTCTCCTTCCTTGCTGGCAGCTTCTCTGTTTCCTCTGCAGGTGCCTCGTCTCCCTGGGCCTTGTGACACTGGGATGTCCCTGTACCTCAGTCTACCTCCTGTCCCCTATCTGTGCTCCTTCCCTCCCTCCCTCAGGGACCTCTGCCAGGCCAGGGACTTTAAGGACTGGCTGTGTGTTGATAACTCGGGCAGGACCCATCTCCTCTGCACCTCCACCTGGACATCTGGTCTGCACCTCAGCTTAGTCTGCTCCCATCCAACCCCAACCAGACTCCTGCCTTTATAGTGACATGTCCACCTTTCCAGGTGTTCAGGCCCAAACCACAGAGTCGCCTATGTGCCCTCTGTCACCTACATCCAATCTGCCAGAACTCCTGTCACCTCTACCTTTGAAGTCGGTCCGCCTCCCTTGCCCCCTGAGCTCTGCACCCCCACCACCTGTCACCTGAGTTATCAAGTAGCCTCCTCCTTGGCCTCCACTTCCCTTGCTCCCGTCCCTGCTGTTCTCCTTAAAACTCAAGTCAGACCACACCCCTCCACAGCTCAAACCTTGGATGGTCCCCACCTCCGAAAAAATCCTGCAGGTTCTGCATACTAACCCCTCCTCACTTATTTTGTATCGTGTATCTATCCCCTTGGAATACTGTTTGCACTTCGCCTATTGGGTCCCCTGCTTCCCCCAAGTGTTTTGGTCACCACTGTAACCCCAGCACCTAGAATGGGGCCACCTGCGTAGCACGTGAGCGCCACCGCAGCCGAGCTCTGCCTGAAGGGCTCCAGAGGTGGGGCCTGGGCCTCATCATTCAGGCCCGTCCTAGTCCCTGCCCTTCCTTTGGGTACCATGTCACATGAAGCAGATCCCTCTCCTAGTCCGGTCCGTGCCCCCAGCTCCTGCTGCCTCGTGGGCCTGGGCCTGTGGACTCCAGAGCTTCCCATAGCCCTGCCTCCATCGAGTCCATATCCCCCTAAACAGCTCAGGCTTGGCCCACCCCCAGGAGAAGGGCAGAATGGGAGGTGCCAGGAGCCGGTGGAGCCACCTGCGCAGCCTGCCTCCTAAGTCCATGAACCCACCAGACGTTTTATCACTATCACCCGTGAATGTAAGTCCCAATCTGTGGAGCATCTCATTCACCAACAGCTTAACCACCCGTCTGTGAGACCCCCTTGAGCCCAGGGGCTATGTGTCACCCCTTCCCAGCCGAGCCCTCTCACGTTCTGAGGGTGACCTGTCAGTTTTACTTTGTAGCCTTTTTTCTAACCTTCACCAGAGGAAGCGTTTATTGACTTTGGAGAGAGAGGGAGGGAGGGAGAGATCGGTTGCTTCCAGTACACGCCCCACCAGGGATTGAACCCGCAGCCTTTTGGTGTACTGGCTGACGCTCCAACAGAGCCACCGGGGCTATTTTGTAGGCCGGCCTGCCTGCCTGGGCTCCGGCCAAAGGTGCCTGGGCAGGTGAGTGGGAACAGGGTCTCCAAGGGAGGAGCCAGCTCTAGAGCCTGCGGTCACCCGCCTGTTCCTCCTGGCTCAGTGTCCACCTCAAACTCTCTCCAGCAACCAACTGGAAACACCCTGCTGTATATAAGCCCAGGGAACAGGATTCAGGCCCAGGATCCCCAGCAGGTGTTCTGGGTTTCCGGTTTCGATGACAACGCAGCATGGAGGTCCACATACAGTGGAACCTCCAGGCTGCCTGAAGTTTCCCCTCAAACACAGAAGGTGCTCAATGAACTGGGGCAGCTGGTCCCAAGGTGAAAATAGGTCCTGTGCTGTGTGTCCTGTTGCACCTGCTGCCAGCATTTTCCAAAGCGTCCCTGCCCCGGCCCCTGCCCCTTGTTTGGAGGGTGCTGAACATGCTGGCTTCTGAAGACTGTGCCCAACACCCTGGGAGGGCTTGTCCCTCTTGTCTCTTTTNTGCCCCTGCCCCTGCCCCTGCCCCTTGTTTGGAGGGTGCTGAACATGCTGGCTTCTGAAGACTGTGCCCAACACCCTGGGAGGGCTTGTCCCTCTTGTCTCTTTTTAATTTGGATGTTTAAAATCAACATTATACGTGTGCATACTCATAGGAGCAGTAAGCATACAGCTTACTTCATTCCCATCCCCCACTCCAAAGAAAATGAGTGGACTTTCAGGATTTTCTGCTGCACTTACATTTCTAAATAACATGTTCACATCATTCTCTTGAATTTTAGACATTGTGACTCCCTCCTCGGATGATGGGAATGTGGCCCTCACTCTCTCCACACACCGCTCAGACTTCCCTCCCTCCTAACAGAGGTGCAGCATCAGCTGTTACCAGAGCAACACTCGTCCCCATTTGTGTGTTTATGTTACTTATACTCACTATTAACAGCCAAGCCATGCAGGGACTATGTTCCTCTTCCTATTTTTGTTTTGCATTAACTGTTTTTGTGTCATTTTCTATCTAGGACTCACATCCAAACCCCACAATAGAAGCAGAAGTAAAGTACTGACCCTTTCTGACTCATCAGCCTCTCCCAGGCTCCGGACGGGCCGGCCGGCAGGTGTGGACGGGCTGCTATGGGCCTGGGCCCTCGCTGGGCAGCACCTTCACACATCCTCCTGTCTTTCTTGGTTACTCCCCTTTTTCTGGAGCCCTCCCTCAGGAAGCTCTGAGAATGGCTACAAAGGGGATAAATTTTCTGAGGACCTGCAGAGTTTTCTTGGGTGTTTCTGCTCTGGTGCCTGTCTGAGATCCTCCCTTCTCTAGAGCAAGAGGGTTTCTCAGTTCCCCGAGTGTGGCTGACTGCCACCCGACGACCATGTCCCACTCCGACCTCTAGCCTGGGGCTTCTGGATCCTCCTGCCACCCACCCAAAAGCCTCTCCTCTTCCCAAAGCTGGGAGGTGCTGACAGCGGCCGAGGCCACAGAGGGCGCAGTCCCACTGATCCTCGCCAGGCCACCAGGTCCCAGTGCTCCCTGCCCACCTAGTTCACTTCATCATCACGACAACTGTGTGGCCAATATTTCTGCCTTACAGGTGGTGGGAAGGGGTGCCACTCCTCCCCAAATGTTTTTAAACATCTTCAGAAGTATTAAGTGTATCCTCTACACTAGGGATTTTCAACCATATGCCACAAGAATTTTAATTTCAGTGCCACTATTCAGGCAGGGGCACTGACTCACCCCCCCCCCAGATTGTCAAGTACAAAAATGACAGCAGCCAGCACAATAGCCATCCAGTGAGAATGAATCAAAATTACACCTATTTTTTTTGTCAGATCAGCGAAAACCATATTTTTTGGTGGCAAAGAATTTTAGCAATTAGTTTATATGCCATGGGATGAAAAAGGTTGAAAATCGCTGCTCTACACCAAAGAGTTCACATCTGGGCAAATACATCATTCTGATCATCCCTTTAGGGAAACACCATCTCCATCCTTTGGGTTCTTCCTTGGGTGCTGACCCCTTCCCCCAGACTCATGCAAACCTGGGGAGCCCAGGTGCTCATTTCTTCCCATCTCCCCCAGATGTGCAACCTCCTTGCTGACAGCAATGCCTGGGCCCAGCACACACACCTGCCTCGTGCCAGGCCCAGAGACCTCCCAGACCTCCCAAGGCAGGACCACTCACAGAGCAGGGCAGCTGCTCAGCCTGGAAACTTCCTGGACTCCTGACCCCAGACAATGGGAAGGGACACTGCACACAAGAGCCCCATCTCTGCAAAGCTGTGGCAGGGAGACCTTTGACTTTTGGCCTGGCTATCCCAGTGGCATGTAGGAGAATGGGCAAAACAGAGAAATCCAAACTTTCATACGATTGGTTTAATTTTTTTTCAGCAGGAGAAAAAAGAATAAAGTTACAAGATTCTTTTAATATTTTCACAATGTTAAAACTAAAACTGAGCTCTAGGCTATGTGTGTAAGTAAATCTAGAACACAAAAGGGTTAAATAAGATTTCTCTTTTAAAGATACAAGAATTTAAGCTTTCCTTACATTTAACAAACTTCACAGAACAGATACTGCAGGGGAACAAGCCCCTCCCCCCCCAGCTCTACCACCAGGAAGTGATGGGCGAGAGCCCTGTGTGCTGGGCTCCCCAGAGAGCCTGCTTCCCATGGCTGCCTCCAAACAGCAGCCGGTGGGGCCTGAGGAGGGCGGAGGGGCTCGTGGGTGGCCTCTTCGGGAGGGATCAGAGCTTGGCGGGGGGCCTAGGCGGGCCAGCTCACTGAGGATGGCCATGGACTGGCCTGAGGGCCGTGGCTTGACAACAGTGGTAAACGTGGGCAGACCCGGCCCCTCTGCCCTGGGCTGCCCTAGAGCAAGACGCCGGTCTGGGTCCTGAAGCAAGAATTAAGGCTGGAGATTCTGCAGCGGATTCACTCTGGTGGGGGTGGGTGGGAGGAAGAGGTTGGGAAGAGCATGATTTCCTATTTCAGAATTCTGGATCAAAAAAAGATTTTCAGTTGCAGGTATTAATTTGCAGACAGAGTTGAACTGCTTGCTGTGGTATAAAAGGGAAAGTAGCTGGGTTAAACTATTCCAATAGCCTGTGGGTGGGCAAATCCAAACTGTCTCTGCAGGAGCCTTCGACTCTCACCGCCCTGGATGAGACAGGGGGCTCCGGGTCACTCCCCTGCTCACTTATCCTGTCTGCCCATCCCACCCCCACCTGACTGGTAATGATTCCTAATGTGGGCAAACAGACCCATCTCTACCCTTCCCCACCTGGCCTGAGCTACTGCACTGTCTACCCACATGAAGAGGCACCAGCTGAGAAATGTGTCCCCCACCCCAACCTGCTGGAGCAAATTTCTCTCTTGGAGCCTGGCCACAGCCACAAACCAGTTCTAGACAGATCACCCCGCTGCCCCCCGGCACACGCTGCCCCCCTCACTACACCTGCTGTGTGGTACATGTGGACTGGTCGTCCCTGGACTACGGGGCTGCACAGACACAAGAGGCAAGGCCATCCTCCTCCTGACCCCTGGGGGCCCAGCAGGCTCCTGAGGGAAGGGGCAGAGTCTGTGGGCAGCAGCTTCCCCAGTGCTCCCAGAACTTCTACTGGTTCCTGTTGGCTATGAAACATCATTTTAAAAACTCCAATACAGAACTCTAGCTGCAGAGGCCATTTGTGGCCCCAGCCGCCGTGGCTGTGCTGCAATTAGCCTTATTTGATCAAATGCCAGATCCCTGTACTTGGCAAGTGGCGAACCAGAGCCAGCGGGGTCAAGGGTGCCCCTGGTTGCCTCTCATGACCCTGGGGTCCTGTGTAGAAAGGTGGTTCTCATGCGTGGACTAGTCTTGAGTGGAGCTAATTTTCAAGTGAGGTTATTGTTTCTCTTCTCATGTGATGAGCTTTTTCATAGCAAGTCAGGTAAAAAATTCATTAAGATTTTCATAAGAACCTGCCCTCCCACCCCCATTTCCAGCTCTGTGGGAGAGCGAGGCCACCACCCAGCCGAGCCACATGGCAGATTTCAGCAGCCTCCTGTGGCCAAGGCACGCGTGGCCACCAGGCATCCTGGCTACTGGACTAAGGGCAAGTGAAGAGGTGAAAGGCCGACATTAACCAGAGTTTGGCAGAGCCATGTGCGCTGTGGAAACTTGAACATCAGCTTCTACTCCTCTATTAACTCAGAGTCTCCGTCTGGAACACTTTCCGCTTAAGGCTTTTTATAAGTTTGACTCCAGCAGTGACAGGTATGTGTTGTTTTAAATCCACTAGCCATGCTCAAAAAAAAATATTCTTCATGTTTTAATTTTATACAATGGCTAGCAGGCACCTTAGTAACCAGCCAGAAATCAATTTCAACCACCATCAACCCCTAAACTACAGTACCAGGATGGCTGGCTAAAGAAAGGAAACGGACTGGCTGTGGTCTGACGCGTGCCCAGTACAAGGTGTCTGGCTGACTTTGTCCTAAATAAGGCTAACATTAGTGAACTAAGAACAGCGTCACGTGGCGGCCGTGCCTGGCCTTCAGGAGCACCCCTCCCCGATGCGCTGGCAGGAGCGCCCCACTTTCCGGTCCAGTTTCACCATTTTCATGATGGCTTCCTCTCGGCCACGACCCATGTGGTCAAACGTACAGTCATGCTGCTCGGGGAGGCGATGTAACATACAGAACACGTAACCTGCAGAAGCAGAAGAGCAGAGAAAACAGGGTTAGGGTGGCTTCCAAATGCCCAAAGCCCAGCTCTCTCTGGTCTGCAGGATGGGAAGGGCATCTCAGTGAGTGGACAGCCACAGCAGGGGCTCCTGCTGCTGAGGCATTTATTACCCCTCTGCTCCCCTCCCCCCTGCCTGAAATTTCATAGCTCCACAGCTCCTCTTCAAGTCAGTGTGATGTCCTCAGAGGCTGACTGTATTTAAGGCAGCTCCTGCCTGGATGGACCCTGAAAGCAGTACCCCAAAGGAGGATGCTGCTGGGAAACATACCCCTTTCTAGGAAAGGAGTGGGAGTAGGCGAGAGAGCACAGAGCTGCCAGCTCAGCATTTTCCCTAGCCTGGGCAAATGGAATATCCACCCCAGGACACCACCATTTCTTGGAGGCAGACAGGGAGCAGCCTAAGCAATTATGGCTTAAATTACATTCTACCTCCT